AAATAGTTTATGCAAAACGCTGGCAGTATTTTTTCCACAATTTCTTTCCATTTCATTTCAGTTTTGCAATATCTTCAAAATTGATGTGATATTAATAAGAAGGAATAATGATGTTATATATATATATATAACAACGATTATATCTATATCTATATATATATATATATATATAATCGATTTATATATATGATTCTAAAAAATATACTATTGATTCTCATCCAGACAAATGCATTGAGGCAAATAATGAGAATAATGCATCTCCGATAAATGCATAAGCTATTAAAACTCCAAACAAACATAAACTTGTTGTTGACTTCAATTTGTTTGTTTTTTTATAAGTTGAAGAATAATATTGGTCATTGGTCATTTGGATGACTTCAACGAGACATTAAATAATGAATGATAAAGCTATATGATATAGAATAGGTTATGCTGCAATTAATTTTGCTCCATTGTTAATATTTTTATTGATAGTATATCCATTAATTGTGGTGCACCAATAATAACATAAATTACAACAAATAAATCATCCAATTTTAATAATTACTTTAACAAAACCATAACCTAAAATTTCTTACGGTACTGAATTAAATTTCTTACGGTATTGAAACGAAATGTTTACAATTTATTATAAAAAGCTAACAATTTTATTTTAGTTCTTAAAATTTGTAATTATTTCTGTTAAGAAAATAGGAATAATCGTTGTAGCAACAAAAAGTATCTTGAAGTTATGATTCGATGATCTTTCCTTCTGAACTATCTAAATGATATCCCTTCAAACAATTGAGTTTTCTGCAATTAATATTTTCAGTATTCAAATTTTTGTTTTTTATATTTTTGTCTTTGTATTTATACAATTTGAATAATTTGCAAATTTTTCTTCTGCAATTTGTTGCATTTTTTACTTGAAAATTAAATTAAATTATACGATATTCAAAAACCTCTTGAACTAATATATCTTTGTGAAACTTACTTTAACTAAATATTCTATTATTTTCATTATCACAAAATTATTTGCACTAATTAGAATGTTTGTAATAATTGCTAACTTCCATCTTATCTTGAATTTCTTCTGCTGCATTATTTTATATTTCTGAAATCATCTGAATAATAAAAATGCAAATGTTTGCTTTCTCGAATATTTTGATTGTGAAATTTTCGTTTTTTGTAGAAACTTGTTTTTGTATGATAATGAATGGGACGTAATGATAATTACATAACAATTCACTGAACCTACTACAATTTGAATTCATCGCAATTTTAAATTAATTGCTACTTGAAACTATGAATTCATTCAATAATGACATATCAAAATATTTCAGTATTGCGACTTCATCGATTTATTCATTGCCATTATTGAATTTCAAATTGCTAGAAGTTTAGCTCGAATAATTTTAGAAATTTAATAGATCTGTTTTCAAAAATATACCATGATTTTGGCATCAAAGAAGAGTAAATTTGACAACAATGTCCAAAAGTGTATTATTGATTGAAAATACATTTAATCAAAATCTATTTGGCATCTGAATCAAATCATACGCATTCAATCAAATCTTCGTTTTTCTCTTGGAGAAACTGTTGAGCAATTGATAATATAATCTACAAATATGTGCAACAGAGGTGACTGCAACAGTTTTAATCTAACACTTGCCATCAGGCAAATGCATACTGCAAAAAAAAACGACTTGCTTGCTGCACTAAGACTGCATCATTCTGCATTGGCAACAATTTGTTCAGTATGCAAGCAAATGAACAATTAAAATGCAAAATAAATCAACGCGATTTCTGCATTCAGCCATATTTAGCAAAATGCTTTTCTACCATAAGCAATAATTTTCAACCTGTTCTAATTTTTATTACTATACCGAATAATGCACCATTTATTTTCTTTTGCCACAAATTGAGTTGTCACTAATTTTTATTCGGTAAAACCAGAATTGTTTGAATTGGATTTTTTGCTGACCACTTATCGAACATGGAAAGGGCTCGTAGAACGACAACAAAGTAGAACGAATCGAATTATAAACTCAATAACATAAACAGAAAATTTAAATTAAATAGCCAGTAAAAACGTATTTAATATTTTAAAGATAGTAATTATAATTCTAGCAATATTGGCCTGCATATAGAACAGTATTTGAATCCTTAACAACAAAATATAGGAATGGTTGATCAGCTTCGAATGTCGCAAATGTATTAAGGGCTGGATTATATTTAGTCCTTATCGCAGTTCCTGTTCCTTTCTCAGTTGCCTGCAAAAATTCGACAATAAATGGAAATGGGAAAAAATGCTATATTTTTAAATCCTTAAAATTACAAATTTTTTGAAGAGAAAATATGATACTGTGCAAACAAACCTTAAATGAAGAACTGTGTATAATATTGCTGACAGAAATTGAATCACTACTAAGTTCTGTAAAGTCAGCATAATTGCTGAAAATATATGTGATGCCAAACTTTCGTAGAACGCTTTCCAAATCTAGTTTAGTTTCGGTTCCAAATTTTGGTAATGTCAACTAAAATTAAAAGAAATTAATTACAATATTTATTTTTTAAAATGATCAATCAATTTTCTACTTTTAAATTAATTATTCTATCCTAACAAAAATAAAAACTAAGGTCTTTTAAAAATTCTCTCTCAGAAATTAAAATAAAACAATGCTACACATTTACAAGAATTAATCGATTAGATAAGGAAAATATTCTTCATTATTGATGTCAGATTATTTGATTTGAATATGATCTAACTGACAATAATTCATTTTAAACTAATGGCAATGATTGAAAATGAATAATATATGATTGATGTGACGATCTTCAGTTTTTTAAAAAAAGGAAATATCATAACTTACCTCAACATTAGTTGAGTTAGTCCAATTAATGTATTTGATTAAATCTTTTCCTGTCATCTTCTTTCGAATGTTAGATAAATCAAAGCGAATTTGTGGCAGTATGATTATCATCTCTACCTCATCACCAACATAAGGCAATTTAACAACTTGCACAAAAGAATCTTGGTAGTATGGGAGTTCTGCCCTTAAGAGCATCATCGGTACCTGTTGAAAAATAAATGAAGGTGATAGAAGAACAGCGGATGTATTCATTTGATGCGAATAATCGTATATTTCTATTTATAACATTTAAGAAAATATTTACCACTTTCGTTTTATCTTCAGAAAGATGGAATAATGTGTTCGAAGTTTCTGAATCAATGAACTGATTTTTCCAAGCACCGCTGAAATGAAATGTACTGAGTACTAACATTTCAGTTTTTGGACTAATTATATCCGTTCCAAATCGTTTTATTCTTCTGTTAGTGTTTCCTGAAGCCCAATTGTTAATTTCCTGAAAAAACAATCGAATTAATAAATGTAAAGACAAAAACAAACAACAACTGTTATTCCCATTATTCGTACCTGAATAAGTTGATCCTTCCGATTATAAGTGAAATAATGTACTGTTTCGTTGAAATAATGCTGCAGAGTATCAATAAAGGACGGCTGTATAGAAAATCCCTCTCGTATGTATAAACGATTTGATATAGTTAACGAATAATTATTTCTTTCAGCAGCTATACTTTCCAGTAATTCATCAAAATTTTGTTCAACTTCTTCGGTTACTCCAACTGTGAATTAAAATCAGTTGAATATCACATTATCATCCATTTATGGAATTCAACAACTATGAAATTAATGGTGACACAGAAAATATGATGACAGCTTGCATGGATACGATAAATTTTGGATTTTTTCTAAATGATAGAGCAAACTTCTTAATTTAAGCATTTTTTTCAAATTAAAATTACATCTTCCAAAAAATTCCTCCAGTTCTTCTTTGGTTTCGCTATCCGCTGCAAGATAAAGCATAAAAATTCCGCTTGATATCGAAATAGGTGAGGAAATTATGGATTTATCATTTTGACCTATTTCTTTTATCAACGCGACAGCAAATTCAATCTGCCCTTTTCTCGTAGAAGAACTATAAAAATTTATCAATGAAAGAAGCAATGATACTTTAGTTGAAACAAATGATAATGTGTTATTGATGATGATAAAGTGTTAATAAAGGAGCAATTAGCTACAGCTATCTGATTACTCTAAAAAATGTTAGTTCTTCAGAAATTCTTAATATTCCTACGCACATTTCTCCAAATATCGGTATGAATTGGACGCTTGCAATAATAAATAACGTGGTGATAATTATTTGATTAACCATTCTGAAATATCAACGAAGTGATAAAATAATCATTAGAATATGGTGTAATATTCGAATCTAACAAATACATCTTTAATGCAGAATTCGCCCATTATTGAATAGTCAAAAGTCTATTATGATCTAAGAAGAAGGATTTATGATATGCCATTCCTTCTCTTTCAACCGAATAAAGACTGCTAGTTCCACGATGGTCTTTAGCTTTATTGACCTAATTATCCGGAATGACTGTTAATGGACTTTCTGCTTTGTTGAAACATCAATGTTTTATGGCCGAATACTTTAAAAGCTTTTGTTTTTTGGATATAGCTCTAAAAGTTGCTGTTTGAAGCATTATTTTCATCAAAAATTAAAATGGTGTCAACAAACTTTTGTCGTTTAATATAAATTTTAATCATTCTTAAATTTATTCTTCAATATTCTTCATTCATCCTATAATTAGCATCAATTTCCTGTGTTGTAACTCCAGAAAGTTGAATGAAAAACTGAAGACATTTTTATAATTCAGTACAGCTGCATAGCCAACCTAATATCTATGAACCACTTAAAAAAAAACCCGAAATCCGATGAATTGACTTCAACGAATAATGAATCGAATTTCTTCGCAGAACATGTTGTGATTTTCGTTGATAAAATTTAGCTAAGGATACTTTTGATGATATGAGGAAGAAAAAGCCTTGCTTGAATTGCCTCTTAAATAATAGTTCTACTTCTATATTGAGCATTTTAAACCAATTCATTCATGATATTTGCATTGTTGTAGTATTAGTATTCTTTGGATTATGTGTTTGTCCAAATAAAATTGCATTATAGTTTTTCAAATGATTTTTACAGGTAGATTTTAGCATGACAATGATTCATACTGTAAATCCATCATTCATTTAATATGTAAAAGCAAATAAAATATATTTGCTGTATTTATTGAGTTGATGAAATATCTCTGAAATTAGTCAGAGCTTTCTCTAAAAAGAAAGAAAAATCCAATTTAATTAAGAGCAATTAATTATTCTGACGGTTAATGCATTTGTTAATTTTATGATAAAGCATTGATTGATTATATTTTTGAAATGATAAATTAATTATATCATACTATGTCACATCACAATATGACATAAATCATTGTTTAAAGTTTTAGCTAAAATTAAAAGAATTAAAAACATTTCAGTGTGCAATATCAGAAATTAAAAAATACCATTAATTAATGAGGAAATGAGAATTTATTTATGTTTGACAAATTTCCCATTTTATTTAAAAAGCAAGGGAATAAATAATTATATTTATATGATTGTTAATTTTATTTCCTTTTCTTTTTTTACTCTTTCAACAAAATATTTGTGTTTCGTTTACTTTGTTTAATTTGTTTACCTAATTAAAAAAATTTGTTTACCATGTTTACCATTAATTTGTTTACCAATTTTTCCTCTTTTATTTTTGTTTACTTTCATGACAAACAAATAAGAAAGAAATATTTATTTGAAAAATAATTGATTAATTGAAGAAAATTATATTTGTTAGACAGTTAAAGAATATATATTCTGTCCATTGATTATTTAAACAAAAAAAATTAAATTAATTTAAAAAGGAAAAAAGCGACAATTAATATGCAAATTTGTGAGCTTTCATCAAATATCATTTTGTATATTTAATTATGTGTTAATATATTTTATGGAATATCATTTCTGATAAATTACCGCTCACTTCGATCAATTAATTGGTATTTATCGGAATTTATGATAGTATTCAGCATGGTGAATACTTTTCTAGCTGGCAGCATTACCAATTACCATCGGCATTTAGAATTCCAAGCAATATTGGAAAAGTTTAGCTAATTTTTTATTTTCTACTGCAAGTTAAATTCTGAAAAAAATTTGAATTCAATGAAAATATCATCTTTTTCAGGATGAGAATCAATAGTATATTTTTAGAATCATATATATATATATATAAATCGATAATATATATATATAACATCATTATTCCTTCTTATTAATATCACATCAATTTTGAAGATATTGCAAAACTGAAATGAAATGGAAAGAAATTGTGGAAAAAATACTGCCAGCGTTTTGCATAAACTATTT